TTTTTTTTTTTTTTTTTTTTTTTTTTTTTTTTTTTTGTTTTAAAGGACTGTTGATTGTAGGTACCTGAAATAGGAGGTGGCTCGACGAGCGCGGAGGGGCCGAAGAAGGACGGTAAATCGCTGCTGGTGGTAACCGGCGTGTTTAGGTCACCTGTTTTATCCTTATCGTTAGACTCCTGAAGATCGTCTCTGCACTCCCTGGAGCAGTCCTTCTCCTCGTTGACGGACTGCAAACGTCGTTTCCCGTCGGTCGAGTCGCTCGAAGGTGAGGAAGCGTCGACGTGCCGGTGATGTTGATGATCGTTGAGCCGTTGATGGTGATGTTGATGATGCCGGCCATGATGATCCGTGGTATCGGCGCTGTTTTGATGCTGGGCTTGCAAGGGTGCACAAGGGGCCAGCGACAGGCTCGGTATCGTCTTGTTGCAGCTGGTGGACGAAGTGCAAGTGGTGGCGGCCGGTGTTGACGTGCCGCCAACGCCGCATACGATCGAATTCGAGGATGTCGCCGAGTTGTACGGTAGACACGCGTCGAAACTGAGTTGCACCGTTTGCAGATTGAAGGTGGCGTGAGGATGATGATGATGATGGTGATGTCCAAGGGGTGGCGGTGAGAGCAAGAACGGGCTGGTGGCCGCGTGGGGTTGCGAGCCCACCACTTCCATGCCGTCCATCGTCATCCTCTGGAGTTGGTCGCCTCCCTGGCTGGCGGCGACAATCTCCTCGGTACCGCACTGCGTGTCCTCGCCTGCGGTTGTATCGTTCAACGCTATTATTATGGTTAAAATGTTGTCCTTCCTCGGTCGCCCCGACACAGTTAAGCCTCTTTCTCTCTCCCACCGGTATACAAGCTCTACCACGGGTTAGCCTTTATCCGTCCTTTCTTATTTTTTTTTTATTTCTTATCTTTTATTTTTATTATTATTATTATTATTATTATTATTATTATTATTACTTTTTTCTTTTTTTTTTTTTTAGTATCGGTCTAAATAACAGCGTTATCCTTGATTCGCGTTCTCCGTGCAACGGAAACAGCGATGTTTAGACGGGTGGTGGAACACACGGGAGACGAAGAGAACTCCGTTCGCACACGAGAGTTGAAGAGAAACGTCAAGTCCGTTCGGATCGGTCGTATATCTGTCCTTCCTTCCCTCCTGTATAGCTCGAGT